GGAGCGGGTTCGAGATGTTTGACGGTAGGGGCGCGTCGAGGGTGTGGTTCAGTGCGACGACGTTGTAGCCGAGTTGCGAACTGAAGCGTAGTGTGCGCTCGAGGTCAGCGGCGCTGGTCGTGGGTGACCAGGCGATGTTGAGGTCGTAGAGCATGGTGTTTCGGGGCTGGTGCTCATTGCCAGCTTTGAGTTATAGGTTTAGCTGTCGAACATGCTCTCTGACGGTAGAATCTCGAGCTGATAGGTTGATTAGAAGCGCTGCTGTGGTGTTATGGCTGTTATGATTCAAGCTTCGAGGCTATAAATTTTATGAATGTCATTGATAAGATTGATACTTCAATGTTGATATACACGTATGTACCTCTGTATGATAGGTACCTAGGTACTTTTATAGTGGGACAGTAGCGGATTTTTGATGCCGGTGAGGACGCTATCGATAATGCGACAACGCTGTGACAAGCAATTTTGGAGGTACGTCATTGGCTGAAAGGTGTGCGCCGAGCTGATTGAGCTGGAACATTGTCTTGGCCCTTTCAAGCACAGCCCCGAAGGTGACGCGCATTTCGGCACGAGGAAAGAGAGAGAACTTTACCGGCAGCATGGATAAAGGATTGTCCCAAGCTCATAACAGCTTCTTCCTCATCCTATCACCAACATACATTACTGTATTATAGTAATATCTCTCGTTAACGCCCTTTATTTCGTCGACAATCAACTTCGCGAGCGCGTAAACCTATCCGAGTAGGTACCTAGCTGTTGGACTCTTTCAATTACCGCCAGCGACAATACCTACCGCCCTAATATCCATCGTCGCATAAGTTGAAACATTCACAATGTGTTTGATATTCACTTGCGGCGAGCACACCTTCCGAAAAGAAGTCGAGGGCTACGAAGGCATCACCTGCCAATGTCATAACTGTGGTAACTGGGCCGGACATGTTATCAAAAGCAATCCGTGGTTTACCTTTTGCTTCGTTGTAAGTTTCATATCGTTTTTCTCCGCGAGAAAGTCCTAGAGCCTAGAAGCTAATTCGAGATAGCCTATTATTCCGCTCTCTATCCACGGTTACCATGACGTTGTCTGCCACATCTGCAACTTTGCGCAACCGTTAGAAAACCGACCCGACGTCCAGGCCATGAGACGTGGCGCAGGAGGGAATAATATACCCATGCAGAATCAACCTCCGCCTCAACAACCAGGTGGTGGTCCACCCCCAGGTTGGGGACAAGGACCGCCTCAGGGCCAAGCACCTATGAGATACGGCTAGAAAATGAACAATGAGTCCTGATATATGACTTGGATGGAGACGGCGGGGGGCTTAGGTGCCGCGGTCATTAATGAGGTTGAATGAAAAAAAGACAGGTCGGGGTTGTTACATTACATTATGTGGCATGAGGCGTGGAGTTGAACGGGTTTCGCATGCTGCCAGGATATCCCGCACAAGGCGTTTGAGCTGACTAGTGGATGAGGTGACGATGAATGGATATTTAGTTCCAAGGGCCTATTCTGCAAACTATACATTGTACATGAGCGCGTCTTGGATTTTGGGGGGTTTTTTTTATTCGGAGCTGTTAAGGAAAAGGATACCTTGTGATCGTAGTGCTGTTTCCCAATAACTGATTCATACGAGCAATGACTCGACTATTACGAGTCTCTGCAGTCTGTAGGGATTCAACTTATTATTTTATCGGGCTAATCTCGTTGACAAGCTGTAGTAATGTGAAATCTTGACTACTCTATGTTTTCTATTTCCATCTGTCAACATTGTAACATGACCACGAGTGTATTGAACTATCAAGAGTCATCTAGTACAGTCCCCTTCATCTCCAGTTCTGAAAGTCGTGTTTCCCAGCAGAGCCTGAGCAAGGCAGCAGATGGTAACCAAAGTATAACACCTAATTCTCTGTCAAACGGCTCTAAATAGATGATCTCGTGTTTTCAACTACGAACGCCAGTCATGAAAGGTAGTACATAGTGAGCAGTCTTCCAGTCCAAGCTCCGGTGTAGGGGAAGGACTCATTAATGTCGTCACGCGGGAGAGCAGCTTGTCACATACAGCTCGTGGTAGAGATGATTAGATCTGATTTGGATTATGGGACTGGTACCACGGATATCTCCAAGATACTCTTATTTAAATCTTCAATTATATTCTCTAGTTCCCATTCCATGTAGAGTTCTGCCTCGAAGGTTCACAGTTAACACCTCCATCCATCAGGAATAAACAACTAATCGACTAGCTCAACGTTCCCAGCAACCGCAGCAAACGAACAAAAATTTATCTCAATACCAATCAGATATCCGATCAGTCTACTTATCGCACCTAATTCATAAAGTTAGGCGAAGGACTCACCAGCGGACTACTAGCAATGGGTGATTCGGACGCGGCAAAAATCGCCGCCATGAAGATTTTCGCGGGAGGAACCTGCCACTCCAAGCTGAAGAAAGACAACTACGGCGAATGCTACCACTCGAGGGAGCCCCTGAAAATGGTCATCGATGGCAAGGCCGTTGGTTCTTCTGGTAGTGATTCCGGTAGTGGTAAGAAGTCTTATTACTCCGATTCCTCATCTTCTGCCTCGTCAGCTGGCAGGTGAGCGTTGAGGTGAATACTCACAACTATCTATGTACTATCATGAGGGATAGGGGGATATAGAGATGTGGACGATACGGTGTCTGGGTCAGCCTAGACGCCTAACAGCTTAAATTAGCAACTTTGGAGATGTAAAGCACTAAAAAACACCATTGAACAGATGTTATTGGAGAGTATCTGAAAGTATCTCCCTTCTTCTTGGTCCTGTGTACGTCGCGTTCTCTAGCCCGTATTTTTCGAGATGCCTATTTCATGATAAGTCCATTCTCGGTAATCCGCGCTGAAACCATGTTTGAGGCATAATATATTTCCTATCAGGTAAGTGTACAAAATCAGGTTATGAGAATTACTTCGGGCGAAGCAAGAATCTTGAAATAGATCATCAGGATCCGAATAGCATATACGCCATGTCCATTCCCTTCATTTCAGAATAGGCCGCCAGCCCTTCCGTCTTACATACCCCTCGACGCCCTCGTCCCTCAGCACCTCGGCGCCCGTCCGTCCCGTCACGACACTCCTTTCCACCTCGGCTCCGCGGACGTAGAACGGGAATTTAAGCCTGTAATCACCAGTATCTCCATTTTCCTCGTCCGTCTTAGCGTCGCGAACCTCAGACTCGCGCTCCCAGACAACCCGCCCTGCTCTCCGCCTCTTCACAAACCCACACGCCTCCCTATCGAGCGAAAGGTACCACCGCCGCTGATGCACACTACCAATCGAATTCGTCGCCCCAACGTACGCATTCGTGCGACGCACCTGCTCGTCCTCGAGCTCGCGGATCTCGCGTTCCATCGGCGAGATGGCGTCGGCGTCCTGGTCTACTTCCTCGGGCGGCGGCGCATTCACAATTTCCGAATCGTCGTCATTGCCGCCATCCCTAGTGCCAGCTTCAGAATCCGAATCCGAATCCGAATCCGAGCCCGCCACGGGATCGGCCCCTTTGCCTCTCCCTCTCGTTGCGTCCCTTCCCCTTCCTCGTCCCGGACCGCCTCGCCTCCGGCGCCGGGTGGGCGTGCGCGCGCTCTTAGCGCGGCCTGCTATGTCCTCGTTTTTGGTGAGCCGGAGGTTGAGCACGTAATTTCGCGGTAACCGCGTGCCGTTGAGTCGGATGCGGATTTTGCGGGCCTGGAAGGCTCGGTGGAGTTTCTCCTGTTCTGTGAGCTCAGGGGAGTCGTCTTCGTCCACTGACTGCGAGTCCGAATTGGCTCGTTTCTTACCTTCGCGTGCGGGGAGAATGGTATAAGTTCCCGTGTCCCAGATGAGGAGCGAACCAGTGGAGTCTGAGGCGGTCTCGATAAGATGGTTCTAGGGAGGACAGCGTTAGTGGTGATGCACACTATGAATGCGAAGTAGTTTGAGAAATTCACCCATAGGCAATGGATTCTCGTCTCTGTGGCGTTCCTGTTTAGACGCTGACTATTCGGATCGCCTGGGAGCCCGTACATAATGGCCCACGAGGCGCTGCTCGTCTCATTGATTTTCAATCGGAGATCGTAATGCGTGCCCGCGATGGGGTGGTCATGCTGATGTATGATGAAGTGCGCACCCCTGGGGGTGCCTGAGTTTGTCTCATACAGTTTGCGGTATCTTTCAATTGAGAGCCTGGGCATACCAGGCGGAAAAGGTGAGAGGGTGGCCTTAGTGAGAAGCCCACCGAAGTAGCCTAGATGGTCCTCGATTTTCGCCTTTCCCGCCTCAACTGACTGTGCTCTTGGTCTCTCCTCGATTGTCTCGGGGTTCTGATTGGGTGGTGCCTCAGAGCTGCTGCTTTCATCGCTGTCACGCGTTGAACTGGCAAGCTCCAAATTCCATTCGAGATTCCTCTTCTTAATGAAGGGGTTGCCGACTAGCTCAGGACTCGGCCCTCGCTTCATCGCCATGTTATCGCTTAATGAATTTGAAGGAATGCTGGAAAGGTAACTCTATCATATTCCAATGATTGAGTCAGAGAAAAGCAATGTTCACATATGAGACCACTATGGTTGGACAATGTGAACGTGAGTGAGGATGACCAGCAATTGTGAGATTTAGCGTTATCTAATCAGTTATATGAACGTACCATAATGGGAGTTTGACGACATTATGATGCATCATTGCAGAAATAAGAGTGAAACTAAAGAGAACAAATGAAGTCTTACTGCGATCCTGTTTCAAACCAAGGCGATATTACAGATCATTAATTCGGCGCCAGAAAGATGGAGGGGCAAAGGGGTGCCTGTCTGGATCTTGTACCTAACTAAGTACCGAGTGTATTCTGTTTCAGTCACGTGGTCTTCTCGCGTCTTTAATTTGCTACAGAGCAAGAATCTAATTCACATTCATGAATTCAGATGAACAAAATGTTAACGTCCAAATATAACAAATTTGGACATGGATGCAAAAAATAGAAAGCTCGTTAGGCTGATAGGCTGATGAGAGTGGGACTCGAACCCACGCGGATTGCTCCACTGCGATATTGTTTATTCAGGTTTCCTGAACGCAGCGCCATAACCACTCGGCCATCTCACCGTTAAGCACCTGTTAGGCACCTGATTGGAAGACGGAGCCGTTATTGTAGACTATATCCATAAGCCGTGTTTGCCCGAATAACCGCCTGGCATCGTTCTAGCGCTCGTTTGTCAGCCGATGGGCCTAAATTTAGTGGCATCATTCTCAGCCTTTAATTTTGGCATCAGCTGCAATATAACGAAAAGTGTTTCTGTTCATTCAGATCTCAACACAGCAAGGAATCTTTCCCCTAAGAACATATACAAATTGTCTGTTGTATTGGATATTTGACGAGCTGATTTTTTTTAGGCCTAATCCCATTAATGTTTGACCCGAGTCGGCCTTCGGAACGAATCTGGAAGCAACTTGCCGACAGTTCGGGCTCCCATATATTAAATTAGGTACCTTTCATATCCCAGCTACTGTATCTGAATACTTCAATATTATCTGCGAAACGCATTTCCCATAACATATTACTTCTAGCCTAATACAGTGCCTGAAAGTCTTTAATCCGAAACCTGTGGAGCCTCGACTGTAGTCAAGGTGACATCGTCATAGTACAGCTTATTCGTCGGGCCACCAGAATAACATTGAGAGCTGAACGAAATCGCGGCGGAATCGCTAGTCGCAGTCCAAGAATCCGTGTAAGTGGCCCAGCGTCCAGCATTTCCCGTTAAATCCGGCCGTCTCGTGCGCACGTTGTTGATGAGGATGTCCATGACGCATCCCGCGGCCGGGTCCATCTTCAGAGCGTCTGGTTTATATGTCAGTTTTCATACTCCGCAAATGATTCTGAACCGGGCGTCAGCTTCACGTACACTGGAACAGGTAGGACTGGCCGGCTGTGACGGGAACTGTTTGCTTTAGAGCGATCTGCCAGAGTCCTAGCTTTCCTTGTGCGATAAAAGATCGCGAACCCGAATACGCATCAGTATCTAGGGAGCCAGATGCAGTCGTGTCGAGGTTGTATCCTGAGAAAGTCCAGGAGAGGGGGTCTGTGATCTCGAAGCCGGGATTTACAACAAACTAACAGCAAGATCAATGACTTATTCTATTCACTTAGTTGCACATCCCATAACTTACTTGAGTAGGAGTAGGAGTAGGCTCTGCTGATGTAGATGAAGATGTCTCAGACGAAATAGTGCTGGACGAGGTTGCAACACTGCTGGTTGAAGCGCTCGATTCAGTCACTGTGACGCTTGCAGACGACGAGACTGCCGAGGAACTCGTCTCAGAGACAGTCGATGACGATATTGTGCTTGACACCGCGCTTGACACTGTGCTTGAAGACGATGAAAATTCGCTGCTCGTCGAGGAGATAACTGCAGAGCTCGTGGATGAGGAGATAGCTACGGAACTCGTGGTTGAAGAAATGGCCACCGAACTCGTAGAAGAAGCGATATAAGACGATGAAGTGACAGAAATCGCATACGTGCTCGAGCTTGATGGGATAGAACTATAGGACGAGCTCGTCGAGATTGGTTCACTGCTTGAAGTCCTAGGTTTGCATCTGCTCGCATCGGCCACCCCGTAGATAACTGACAGGGCGGCGGTAGAAACGATATGCTTGAACAACATTATTAAACAGATAAATTATAAAACGCCAATGAGTACGATCGAATATACGACAGATTTTAATGAATGACAGACACTGCGCCTTCACCACGGACTTGGGATGAAAACAAACACCGCGAGTGAAGAGGTCCTGTGCGAAAGATATACAAATACCAAACCATGTTCCCGCTAGTTTTAGCCTTGATTATCGAAATTAAGTAGCGTAAACGGTAAACAACTCTACTGTTGATCTCAAAGCTCAGCTGAAAACCATAGAAAGACTATGTTACTAGCGGCTTGAGCTAAGCTTCTTTTCTCCTGTTCTGCCGATTTGAGAACTGGTAGTCTATGAAGCTAGACGCGGCTCTAGATACTAGCTACTAGGTTTTACCAAGTTTATCTAGTTCAAATAATACTAATTGGGAACTTCCTATTCTTAGCCAGCAGTACTTTTCTTCAGCGCTTCCTGATCAGGCAAGACAGGCGCTCTCGCCGGCGTCTAGACTATAACATTTTGGGGTCTGGACCATCATTGCTGCAGAGGCCGCGTCACGTCATTTTATCTATATAATAATGGCTATGGTTAATACTCTGTCTATATCCAAATTACTACTAAGTAGCTTTTTATACTCAGGTATATTGAAAGAAAGCTTCTTTCTCAGTTGTCAAGTGCTCATTCTCTGCCAAGTCCATCTCAATTCCACTTAATGCCCAATGCTTGAAACCGAGTTCATGACATCAGAGTTTCCATCTTCCCAAGTGAGGACGGCGGCGTGTCTGCTAATCCTCCATGGGTTCTCTCCCTTCTGCTCCAGCTCCGGTAGTCGCACAAGGTCGAGAACGTACCGGCCCTAGTTCGAATTTTTAGTCAGCTATATTATGTTGGAGATAACTGCTACCCGTTATTAAGACAGGGCTTACCCCATTATGCATCATATGTCCGCCCCGTGCCGCCTTGCGACACAAATGAGCATTGACATTCGCCGTGACTTTGCACTTATCCGGCCTAGCGGCCCCTTTCACGGGTGGCGGAAGCTCGATTAGCAGACTCCTGAGATATTGATATTAGCCTCTAATATTGGGCAACAAACGCCTGATACGGTAGAAAATAACTTACTGGACTACATGTTGCGTTGAGTCGAACGCGCTCATCCTCGGCTTGAGAGACATGGCCCACTCCTCGCCCGTCGTTTCCATCGGCTGTCCACCAAACAAGGATGTGTAGTCGATGACCACCTGCGGAGCGTAGACATCTTTAATAAGGCCCTCATACGACTCCAAGTCTATGTTCAAAGTCTTATTTTTTTTTTAGGTGTTGGTCAATTGTGTGGCTGAAAGTTGCTAGAGGTTAGTGGGGCTATAATCACTTACAAGCCGGATCACTGTATCATGGACATTGGCCCTGTCAAGAAGGTATGTTTGGATATCGTACGATGCGTCCATTGTTATGCGTTTCTATCTGCTTTATAAGTGATCGTATAAATGCGGTTTCGCTGTTAGTCTATTTGATGAACATGATTCCTAATCGTCGGCGGAGGTTTAGGTAGGTAGTTATATACCATTTCTAAAATCATTTCCAGACTGACAATAATATAATGGTATTTTTTCCATCATCGTCAAAAGGATGCTCTAAACATGCTTCAGTTACGTGCCTTGGATCCAACAGTCTTGGTTAGAGCCTTAACCCCGATGTGATCAGACCACACCGGTATAATATTTCGACCGTATTTTTAGCCTATCCCCTTGGATCCGGTAAACTCCAGCCTAACTCCGGGATCCTATCGGGGAACGGCGCAATTCTTTCCAGGGCGGTTACGGAATCGAGTAAGCTCCTTTTTTCTGATTGGTGGGCTTAAATATGTGACAGACGGATTACGCAAGGGTTATTATACACTAGTCCTAACAATGCAAGGGGCATTATTGGCAGTATTCACAAGGAGATCAAGTATTATACCGTCATCCTTGGACCCATGTGAAAATACCTACATATAAGGTGACCTGGATGGGTGCAACATTAATGATATAATCCACTACTGAACAGTTGCTTTTTTTTCCCCTCCAGAATCTCCTTTTTATAAGCTCACTCCCTTACCCTATAAACACCACATAAGAATACTTGATCATCATGTCTTCATCAGCAGGAACCCAATCTGACTCAGTCTTAGTACTGGGCGGCACAGGCAAAGTAGGAAGTCGCCTCGTGCCACTGCTAATAGAAGCTGGTATCCCAACTCTCGTTGCGTCGCGGTCAGCCAAAGCACCTGCAGGCGCCACGGGTGTCAAGTTCGACTGGGACGATGAATCGACGTGGGAGCCTATCCTCGTAAACCCGATCAAAGCCGTCTTCCTCGTCGCATCTACCTCACCAGATCAGTCGCCTATTATCAAATTCATTGATATCGCTCGTGCCAAGGGGGTTCGACGCTTCGTGTTGTTGAGCGCTAGTTCAGTGGAGGAAGGCGGTCCGTTGATGGGCGCGACGCATAAGCGTCTGCATGAGCTGGGCGATGAGGGCAAAATAGAATGGGCTGTGCTAAGGCCGACTTGGTTTATGCGTAAGTGAATGTCCAACTTGGAAAATTCCCTCGAGCATAAATGTGGTATATGAAATGGGATTTTGAGAAAGGGATGCGGTCGTGGCGATTCAGGGGCTATACCTTCGGGCCTTTTTACTCTTTTCTGGATAGAGAACACAGCTAACAAAATCATCGCTGTATTCCAGAGAACTTTTCGGAAGGCTACCACGTCAAGACTATTAAGGAAGAAAACAAAATATATTCTGCCACAGGACCAGGCAGAATCCCCTGGGTCTCGACGGAGGATATCGCCGCAGTTGGTTTCCGCGCCTTAACATCGCCCCAGCCTCCCAACACCGATTACCTGGTGTTAGGCCCGGAGTTGCTCAGATATACCGATGTAAGTTTCTTCCCCTTACATTGCTGCATTACTTCCCCGCTTTTCTTACCCCCTTTTCCATCTCTGTCTAATAGCCGGAGCAATTCTTAACTCGCAAATCCACAGCTCGCCGAAATCTTTACATCCGTTCTCGGGCGCAAAATTACATACCATGAGCTCAGCGAGGCAGAGCTCGCGGAGCGGTACCAGCAAATCGGGGTGCCGGCCGAATACGCCGCGGTGTTAGCGGCCATGGACACGGCTATCCGAAATGGAAGCGAGGACCGCACTAGCGATGTCATCAGAACGGTGGGTGGAAAGGAACCGCGTCGGTTCAGGGAATTTGTGGAGGCGAATAAGGCTATCTGGTCCTGATTCCAAGTGCTATTCTATGCGAGAGGTAGCTGTATTGCAGGTTTTCTGTTGGGGATGAGTTGGGTGCGTGTAACGATAGAACAGCCCCTGATTACATAACCCTAGCAACGCTAGATGTAGAATTTAGATAGACTTGGCTGTCTTATAAGGCGATATTATACATAAATTAATCTGACCATTGTAATAGTGGTCGTAGA